GGAGGAGCATGCGAACTTACTGCTTAATTGAGATAATTTGAAAAGAAGACTAAGAAACGTTTTACTTTTTATTTACTTAAAGAAAGAATTGTTTAATACAAAAGGAGAGTCATTTATTTATAATTTTTGGTATAAAAAAAATTAAAACTACTGAACTAAAAAAGCAGAGAATATGGTTTGTGTTTATTATATAAGTTATTGTCCATTTAGAAAATTCATAGTTTAGGAAGAGTCAGACTCAATGAGACTTAAGATTATTGTTGTTGGTGATCCGTCAAGTGGAAAGACTAGTTCTATTCACCAATTTTGTGATGGGATTTTTGATAACAATTATCAGCCAACGGTTTGTATTTGTTGTATTGTTTAAGTAAGAACTAACCAATATAGATTGGGGTAGAGTTTTCATCTAAGTTTATTTCTATTGATGGAAAATCTGTTGAATTAAGACTTTGGGATATTGCAGGACAAGATCATTATGCAGGGATGAGTAGAGTATATTATAATGGTGCATTAGGTGCTATTGTTATGTGTGATGTAACAAATAAAAATTCTATTGAAGGTGCAATGAAATGGAAAGCTAATATTGATGATAGAGTATTATTTAATAATGAAAACATACCTGTTTTACTTGTTGGAAATAAAACAGATTTAATTCAAGATGAAGCACAACTAAAAGCAATACAGTATCAATTAGGAGAAATTTCAGCATCAAATGGATTTAGTGGTTATATACTAACTTCAGCAAGGACCAGTCATAATTTAGAAGAGTCAATGATTCGTATTGCTAAGTTTATCATCACCAAATATGGTGCATTACTTGATAATACTCAACCAGAGGAAGCAGCACCAAATATAGATTTGATGCAATTTCCAGAGACGAAGAAATTAGATGGTTGTTGTCATTAAATTAATTGTTATTACAAGGAGTATGAAATGATGTTATAGATAAATAATTATATTTTATTGTACTTTAATTTATCTTTTTAAACAATTAAAATAATTTATAATAATAAATAATATAAAAATAATAATATTATATAAATATCAATTAAATTTTGTTATTTAGATTAATGTTATTACTATAAACAATTTGTAATATTTAAGACAATACAATATAATGACAGTGAAAATTAATGACTTAAATTATTAATTTATTTAGATAATCTTGTGCTTATTAATTTATTCTATATCTCTATTTTTTAATAAGACACTAATTATTTTAATCAAGTTATGAAAAAATAATAACAAAAGTTATATAATACAATTATTTATAAAAGGATATTACCAATATTTATTTTATAATCAAAAGTATATCTTTTAAGTATATCTAAAAAAATAAGAGCTTGGTTATTAATAAAAATAAAAAATAATTTATGACAATTAAAGAGTATTAATAACAAAAAGACTAAACTTAATGTTAGTTGACTGATTTGTTTGAATATTATTTGAATGGTGTTCTTTTTCTTTTTAATGATTATTCTTTAAAACATTTAATTTTTAAATATAAAAATATAATATTTTAAAGTTGTAACTTCATTTAATGATTTTTTTTTATTAATAAAATATTATTTCCATAGAAATTTTTCGTTATGAAAAAGATTTAATTCTTCTGACAAATAAAAATAATTTTCCAAAATAATATTTATAGAGCATATACAGAAAATAGAAAAGATATGAAAGACAAACCCAAAAAACTGAAGTCTTTCTCTTTTGAACTTTTTTACAAGTTTTTTGAACAAAAAACTTAGAAATATTGATTTATTAAATGATAAGCAAGAAAGCACACCACCGTTCATTATCAACTATTGAACCACCACAATTTTTATCTACAAAAGAGGTATTTATTTCTCCAAGGGTTTCTCTTGCTGGTTTTCCAAGTCAAGGATTTTCTTCACCACCAACGTCACCAAGAAACAATAAAAGAATAATTATTTCTAAGTCATTTCCATCAACAGCATTTAATAAATTAAATTTCTTAATTGATAAGTCAAAAGCAGGCAAGTTTATTCCTCAATGTAAACTACCTACTATTATAACTCAAAAAATAGATGAATGTGTTGATGTTGCATCATTAGTTAATTTAGTTGAAACTTATGAAATATATTTCATAGAAAATATAAAAGAAATTGATTTAACCAAACCAAGAATGGTTTTTTGGAGAATGGAAGAAACACATAGAAATTTATTTACTAAATTGTTTGATGGAATCAAAACAAATTCAATTGTTAGTTCTGTACTTATTCGATTTCTTGTTGAAAAATATGACCAACAATCAGAACAGAATATTATAACTGACTTTCTTAATAAAATAATATTAAACAAAGATGAAATATTTTCTTCAAATGGAGACCCAGTATATAGAAGTGATGGAAACATTCTTGCAGCAAGTAGTGAAGTATTAATAGATTTAATGTTTGACATAAATGATAGTCAAAGTATTTTTGATATCATGTTATATTCTAATGCATTAGTCATGAAACCGTATGAATATGTTTTAAAATTAAAAAAGAAACATTTAGAGTTAAAAGAGGTTATAGAGAAAGAGTCACTTGAATTAGTTAGAACAAAAATAGAAAAAGCTATATTATTACTTGTAGAGATAAATAAATTAGATGATGAAACAAAAGAGTTAATACAGGAAATTTTTTCTGATAAAATCTATTCTGAAGAATTTACTGAAAAATTACAAACTTGTTTATATCCAAAAATTGAAGTTTTTAGTCTTCCTCAGTACAAAAGAACAGTTAATGATAGTACCAATCAACGCAGACGTCGTAACACTATTAGTTCAAGAAATGGTTTACCAGTAAATATTCAGTACAAATACGAGAATATTAGGTTTAAAAGTATTAAAAGAAGAAGTGAAGAAATATTAGCACCTACAGTAAAACGAATATATGAAGAACTAATTATTCCAAGAAAAAAAAGAAGTGATCCTAATCAAATACTAGCTCTAGAAGTTATTAATACAGATAATATTTGTGATTTAGGAGTAGATATATTAACTCAACAATTTATTTTTAGAGATATTAAAATTCTTCAATTAATATCAATACAAGAAGTTATGCTTGCTGACAAAGCACCTTCAATACAACAAGCCATTGAGACATTAGTTATTATAGAAAAATTAATACTACAACTTATAGTTGATAAAAGCACTTTCAAATTGTTTATTAAAATTGCAATGAAATGTTGTGAATTAGGAGATTTTAACATTGGCTTTATAATGTACTCTTGTGTAGTTCAAATTTCTGTAAAAAATCCATCATTTCTTAATGAACTTAAAAAGAGTAAGCTTATATTTGAACGTCTTCAAGAATTGTTTTCTATATCAAAGAATCACCAAAGTTATAGAGAAGAATTTGAAAAAAGAGAACCAGCTTATCGTATTCCAATATTAAGTTTGTTTTTAATTTATTCACTCTTTAAACTCTTTATCAACAAAATTAATAAAATAGCAATTTGGATTCATGACATGTTATCATCTCTTGAAGAAGAAACTAAGATAGAGTATCGTTTCAATGTAAGAAAATTAAAAAACGTTTCTCTATGTATTAAAACTATGATAGAATTAAAGACAATAAAAATTGCTGTTGATTGTATTTATCCTGTACAGGATTTTCTCTGTCAGTTTTCATAGAATTATCTGTGCTTTAAATGATATTTATATTTTATTAATTCTTTTCGAAAATAAAAATAGAAAAAATAACTCCAAATAGTATTACTACTAGTTATGGAAGTTATTCAATATTATCTAAAATAATTCTGCTCCTTAAAATATATCTGAATAATAAGTGAATTTCATCTATTTTATTTTAAATTTAGAAATTAAGATTCTTTTTAAAAATAGCTTTATTAAATATTTAATGTATTGTTATGAATCAGAAAAATAACTTTTTTGAAATTCTCTTTGTTTATTACAACTATTATTCTATTAATATGAATATTCAAAAACAGGTGTTATTTTTATATGAATGAATTTAAATTATTCTTTTCTTCTTTCTTTTTCTTCAATTAACAATTTCCTAGAATATAATCTCCTTGTCTTTTCATCATTTATTTGTTTTTGTTTATTAAACAAACATTAGACGTAAATAGCATTATAAAAGTAAACTTTTCATACAACTCTATTTCATTTTAAGAGTCATTCTTTTTTTTAATTCAAAATAATCAACAACTACCAAACTATTATTCGACTTTCATTTCCTTGTCTTATTGAAAATTGTTATTTATTCTAACTATTGAATATATTATATTATTCTAATTATCTTTTTGTTCCCAAAACATTTGTTTCATTAAAGAATGAAATTCTAACATAACTTCTTGAAACATCTCAAAAATGGTGTTAATATTATATTTAAGCTTTGTAATGATGGTATAATGAATTTTAAATTTTTTATAAAAACTAACCAATTAATTTATTTAATAACAATCATCATTCGTTCAAAAAATGAAAGTCTTAGTTCCACAATATAGTTGTGAGTTAATTCAGTGAAACAATGAATAATATAAACATTGTTGATATTAAAAGAATTATCTTGAGATTTTATTGTCAAACATTTTTCAAAAATAAAAATATGAATTAACAATGAATATGTTTAAATTACTTTTTAGGTTGCTTATTTTTCTTTTGACTAATTAGTGGAAGGAAACGAGCTTCGAAATACAGATTAACATTAGCTCTATGACCAATGACATCTTTATTTTTGTATTCAATCCAAACAAATAATTTCTTTCTTCTTAATAAAGAAACTTCTTTTTCATTAGAAATAGTCTTAAAGAAATGGAAATATTTTCCTCCTTCTCCAATATCTTTATTCCATTGAACTTGAACTCTTTTATCTTCACTTGGACCTATATAAAGGTTCATATGAAAAGAAAGAATTTTATCATGATATCCTACAATTTGATTAATTTGAGTCCTATTAACATTAAAATCAATATACATTTCTTT